GCTCTGTAAGCCATTCCATCTCATTTTTCTCTCCCTTTCAATAGTCTTAAGAAACAGACACGTGTTTATAATTAAGTGCCCTTCAAATGCAAGGCACAAAAAATATGCAACCAAAGATTAATTTTCTGAAATACAGACTTCATCTTCCTGTGAAATGATACAGACAAAAATATCAAGTATTTCCATTAAAAACAAGAACCTCTATTGTCCGATTTTGAAACAGTCTCTTCGAACAATCAAGGACAGATATTCTTAAGTGAATAACTGTTACAGTAAATTGAGTACCCTAGCAGCAAAAAAGTTGTATAAGTTTTAGCTCAATTACTTGCATCTCAAGGATTATTAAAATTTATCAGTTACTTCCATGTAGCGTCACTGCAAAGTACCAGGATTTGAAGGGTTCTCTCAGCAAATCTTCTGAAAGCACAAGAGCAATTTTCATGTTCTTGACTGACTCAGCACTGTACAGATGTGCAGGAAGCAAAACCTGCTGTAAGCAGCTTATTCTTCAATGTTAGGTTTTGGAAGACTGTTTGCAATTGCTAAAAGTATTTAGCAAACAATATTTTAATACAGGCCAGAATTTGCTGTGCTGACAGTGTGAGAGGAACTAACAATTACAGACCCAGAACATTACTGGACCTACCCCTCTCACAGCCTAAGTTTATAGTACTTGGAGCCAGTGGCCCAACAATGATCCAAGGGGGAGAGAGCTGAGCAGTCTTGTTTAATTGAAATTAAATCAGACATTTAATATCACTTACCAAAATCTTCTCCACATTTTGGTCATCAGAGTAGGTACTTTCAGAGAGAGCTGGACTTTTTCTGTCTATTCCCACTGCTGCTTCCTCACTGCCATTTTCATAAAGGTCAGAATATCCCAGCAACACAGAATTATTGGTCATCATTTCAAAATCTGAGCTTCCACCTTCCGAGAAGGGAGTCAGATGAAGCACTGCTTGAAGCTCCGTGCTTACGTCCTGCTTTCTCACAATCTCAGGAGAGCCCCACGAAGACACACTTGCAATGAAATTCTGGAAGTCTTTTGAAGTGTCTTTGCCTATGTCCAAATTGTGTTGTGGAGAATCAGGAGTTTGATGGATTTCCAACATTTGCTGACAAAGCTTTTTCAAATCTTGCTCCTCTTCAGAGCTGCTGATCACATCTGATTCCTTAATCAAGATATTTTCTTGTGATTGCTTAGTCTGAGTTTTTTTATTTATATTGTGAGTTGCCAACTCAACCATAACTTCATCTTTTTCCTACAATTAAGTAACACATTAATTTTTAATGGCATTTAAATGTGATTTTACAAACTGAAAGACATGCATTTGAAAAGTTCTTCTCTAATTTAACAGTCGTATCTATTACTATTCTCAGGTTTTATGCAGAAATGATCTGACAGTTCAGTATATTTTATATGCCAGTTAACTAGGCTTTTTAACAAGTATATCATCAATAGGAGAAAAAAAATCTGTAAAAGAAGCATTCCTGAAGAGCTGACTCTTGTATCAATCAGGAAAAAAGGGTATTCCTTGTAGCTATGTAGATAATAATCTTTTTTAGAAATAAATACAAATCAAAACCTGTTGCTTTCCTAACTGGACAAATCTCTTAAGGCTTAATAACCGACCCAGGGCACCAGGAAAAAATGGTTAAGAAGTCTAGATGTTTCCTCTGACTGCCATTTCAATGCAGAAGAAACTGTCCACCAATTCATTCTAGTCACTGGAGGGAAATGGAGTCACACGTCCCATGATGTGACACACACAGCTACTCTGTGCTCTGCTCAGGCCATAGGTCTACCTTTCAGCATCTTTCTCCCACAGGGTTACTCTACTCATTTATTGTTTATTTCTCCAAGTATCAAACAACAAACTTAAGTCTCTGGTGACCAACAACACTGCAGACCATTTCTCAAACTCTGACTCTAAAAACAGACACACTAAATCAGACCAAGTCTTTCTACCTAACAACCATCTCTGAGAGAGGCTGGGAAATCCAGGTAGCATGGACACAAGTGTCCATCTTCCTCAGTTCTTGTGATCCAGGCACATAACCAGCTATTTTCCAGTCAGTGGGCTTGGGTCTCTTAATAGCCACAGAACCATTCCAGCATCTTTCCCATAGTGTGAGGGGATGGTCACTGACCAGGCCAAAGCTGGACTTCCACCCACAAACTGCAGAGACACCTGAATAATGTCAATACTCTGCCATGGAGTATGCAGGTACATCCCTTCCTACCTTGCTACAAAGGCTCTCATTAAGTCAGCATTTCTATAGAAAGGGCTTTCTTCCCTTCCCAAGGCCACCTGAAGTCACTCTTCTTTTTCTATGACCTTCATGCTCTTACCAACAAGCACAGACAGCCCGGGAAGGCTGCTGCTGCAGAGCCACTGCTCCAACAAGTCCCAGAAGACTTACTCCAGAAGACATACATGCTTCCTGTCTTACAGCCTCTAAACCTGTTACTTCAACTGGAGGAACATCTCTGAACCATGCCATGAAAATACCTTTATCCTCATCCTTATAACCTCAGGGATCCAGTGTGACAGCACCTGCCATCACCAAGTGATTAAGGAACCCTAAGGCTAGTGTCCACTCTAATTCCAGGGCTTAGTGATGCATTATTATAGATGGCCCTAAGTGAAAAGTAGGTCCAGATGTGCTCATGACAAAGGCTGTGTGTCTTGTGCAGCAGAATGCAGACTCCAGAACATATGTTGAGCACACCAAGCTGCAGTTTCTCTTGAAATGCCCCCACATCTTATGCAGAAGGTCTGGCTGCCTTGATCCCTCCACTTTTTCATCCAGTGCCCCAGACACAGAATCCTCTCAAAGCCCCCTCCCAAGCTGGCCCACCCACTGCTTTAAAAGGGTCTGTTCTCTCACCTTGCTAACTTTTTCTTTTTCCTTCAAATCAGGAATTTTTGGATCCCTGGCTCTGAGGTTCCCTCTGTTTTACTACCATCATTCCAAGGAAGTTTCAACAGGACTAGAACAATATTTCTGCACAGGAGCCCTGCTGGACAGCAGAGCTTTGCCCTGTCCTTGCAAAGTGGTATCTGCCCAAGCAGACCTGCCCAGCTCCTTGCAATCCAAGGTCTACATGTCACCAGCCACATACGCAGTCAACATTTTTGTTTTACTTGCTTGATTTTTCCTTCAATTGCTTCACCTAAGTAATTTTAAGATAAAATTACTCTTTTGATCCCTTAGATTCTGTGGATAAGAGTCTAAATGATGCACTGTTTGAAAAGATATTTCAGTTTATTTTAAACCTGCCACCATGCAAATTTAATTTAATCCTCCATACCTCTTACATTTTAAACAGAGTGAATAACTGTTCTCTCTCATTTTAGACAAATCACATACCATTTTATCAGCAGGGGAAGCCACTACTGCAATTGACTGATTAACATTTGCCTCCAGTTCCTCCATTCCTTTTTCAAAGGCTTCACCATTTCTGTCTCTCTGGTAACACATCTTGAGAAGGTTAGTCTCTCCATGACCACTTTGTTCCTTGGGCTTGTATGACTCCAGCTGTGAAATAAGTTCACTTCTTTCCTGTCGTAAGGCTTCAAGCTCTTTCTCATATGCCTCAATTTGATCTTTCAGTTTTGCTGTGCTACCTTGCAGTTCATTGATTTCTCTCTGATAAGCTACTTCTTTCTGATTCAGTGCTTGCAGCTGGACATCAAGTCTAGAAACTTCTAACTGAAGACTATAAACATCTTGAGCCTGACTTGTGTCTCTTTTTTCTATCTCTGCTTGAAGCTCTGCTGCCCTTTTTGTTAAGTACTGCAACTCGGTTGTGTCGGCTTCCTTTTGATCCACGATTGTCTTCATTCTCATCTCCTTCTCTAAAATACTGGCTTCCCTTTCTCTCACAGTATCTTCGAGTTCTTGAATGCGAGAAGTCATCATCCTTGCTTCAACATCTCTCTGAGAAAAACGTTTTTGGAAAAGGTTGTGCTCTTCCTGAAGTGCCTTGTACTGTCTTCTCAGAGAGGTTAGCTCTGCAACGTGCTGCTCCGATGACTCCTGCAATTTTTGGCATTTTTTATCCAAAACTTCCACTTCCACTCTGAACTGTGATTCCTTCTCTTCCAGTTGCTGCTGCAGAGCTGCTTTAGCAGTTGAGACAAGCTCCAGTTCCTCCTGACATTCTCTAACTTTGGAGAGAAGAAATGCATTTCTTCTGTTTAGATCAGTGTCACTCTGACAATCTACTGGTCCCTTCCTCAACTCATTCTGAAGGTTTTCCATGGGCTTTCCCAAAGTAAATTGATAGAGATCATCTTGGTTGTCACTAACTTCATGACATACTGGTCCAAACTGTGCTAGCTCCTTTTGAAGCTTCTCAATTACTCCATGGAGTTGCTCTACCTCTTCATCTTTGTCCTTACGCAGCCTTTCCTGGTCACCGCGAAGGTGCTCAACAAGTGATGTGAGTTCTTCAATTTCAGATTTTCGGTCTTCCAGAAACTATGCAAAAAGATAAGGTCTGAATATTACCATACGTAGGCAGAATTATTATTGCAAAAGATTAAGTTACATTTTTCTGCTGTATAACACAGACTATAATTCACATATTTAACAGCAGGAAGAATTGCACACCTCAGCTGGGATCTCCTCAGAATACTTTCTACTTCCTTAAGAGAATTATCAAACAGATTTAATTTACAATAAGATTCTGTACACTTTGTTTCCCTCAAGATCAAGCTATGAACATATAGTAAGTACTCTTACTTTATTCTCCAGAGTATTCTCTAGCTCGTGCTGGAGCCTCTTCACCTGCTCATTCAAGTGATCTATTTCTTGATTCTTTTCTTGAAGTAGAGCTTGTGGGAATGACAAAGCTGAGGAATCATGAACATCCATGTCCTGATTTTGCTTCTCATGAAGTTTTGTTAGATCCTCCTGATCATAAAAAAAACAGCTATCTCATTAGAATGAACATACTTTCTCTCCCAACCTAGTGGCAGAACAGAACCAAGGGCTGTAACATTCCCCTTCCTTATTATAATGTTAAGAACCCAAGACCACAACTACAGCTATTTTGTTTAGATTTGTACCACTGGATTAGGTTGCCTCAACATTTCGCAACTGTCAAGGTAGGAGAGAAATATTCTAATTGACAGACTGACAATCAATCAATTTTCTAACTTAGAATCCTAGATTTGTTTAAGTTGGAAAAGACCTTTAAGATCATCAAGTCCAACCATTAACCCAGCACTATGAAGGCCATTATTAAACTGTGTCTCTCAGCACCAAATCTATGTGACTTTGCAATCCTTCCAGGGATGGTGACTCCACCAGTGTCCTAGGCCTCTCCTTTCCCTTGGTGTTGTCACATTTCACAAAGTCCTCCATATCCCATCTAAACACAAGATGAAGACCAGACAAGAAAGGTCTCTGAAGTTTTAGCTGGTGCACACTAAAGTTGAGGAAACCTACCTTCAAGTGTGCATTCTCTAACTGAAGCTGGCTGATCGTGGATGTGCTAAGGTTTTTTTGCATCTCTAACTGCAAGTTCAGCTGCAGTATCTCCTCACTTTTACTGATCACATCATTTTTATATTGTTCTAGTTGGTCTAACAAGCTTGCAATCTAAAAAGAAGAAGAAAATGCATAGTTGTTTCAATTAGAGCTCTTATGTAAGCAGTAAAAATGTCATTCATCATCTTGTTTACTGAGAGCAAGTAACTTCAGTAAATCCTACAATCTAAACTCTCTCTAATCAATGTGCATTAACAAAACACTTCACATAAAAAAGAGTGCTCCAGCTCCTCAGCTGTGAAACCAGAATACTGCAAGAGTAACTTGCCATTTTCTTTTTAAAATATCTAATTGCTCATAAAAGAGATGTTAATCTATGTTGTGAACAGTCAAGGCATGACCACTGACATCTGATGTAAGGAGGAGACACTAGCATGTAATCACAGTTAACATCATGACCGTTCTCCTCCTAGAGGACAGAAGTCAGCACTGCAGTGATAATCCCAGTAATGCAGCAACAACAGTTCTGAGCATTGACTCCTTCAACCTGTAAAAGAGTCAACAACAACACATTTCTCTGCTGTAGCCACTTGAAAGCTTGAGAACAAAGAGCTTTGTGGAAACGCTGGGATCTTGCCACTCACAGCTTTTATAACCTATTGCATTAATGGATAGCAGGGCATAGGGGTGTTGAGAATAAAAAAGTCTGAGTGGCTCCTGAAGCCAGACTTTTTCAGTGACCTGGAACTTCCATCTGTAACAAAATATTATTTTACTGCTCTTGAAACAATGAGGTACAACTGAACTGAAGAATCACCCACGTTTTTCTTCTTCGCACATGCTACAATGGGCTGAATGTCTATTACTAGAATAATCCTGTAGTATTATATAAACACACAGGGGTGTATCTGTGCCTGTAACTCCAACAAGAGTTCTAAACAATGGCACCAATTGCACTGTGCCTCAGCTTAGCTGGGCACAAGGACCAATACTAACATGCTCCAGCTCACCAAAGAAAAGGTGGTCAGATGACACTACAATGGGTAATTACCCTGCCTGTCCTTAAAAGAATTATTGCTCACTCTCCAAGTCAAACAAAAACATACTACCTTCTGTTTCACTTCAACTTTAGAAGGAAAGGAAAATCAGTTTACAACAAATACTCATCATTCTCAAAGTTAATGTGATTCACCACAAAACAGTTTCCAATGGCACGGTATGATGAAATTTCCTCTTTAATGAAATTAGCTACAGCATGTTCTTACCATAATTCTTCCTAACAGGCACTTGTGACAGCTAAAAGAAAAAAATACAGACACAATATCCAAGGAAAATCTCAACAGAGGAAAGAGATTCTAAAACTGAGGAGAGCTTAAATAATTACTTTCAATACTTCACTATATATGGCTATAACGCACGGGAGACAGATGGACAGGGGTGGCAAAACACAACAAAGTAAGAAAAAGGAAGGTTTGTTAACACCAAAGCAGAGAAAATTCTGCAAAAGAAGAAACATTTACTACAATGCTAGTCATCAGGTTTTTCAATGGCTTCAATTCCCAACTACAAGCTTGCTCAAAAGGTTTCTGCAATTATGTGAGTGATTCCCAAGTTAGCAGGACCCTACCAGAAGTTTTACCTCTCTCTCTTTGGTCTGAAGTGCTTCCTGCCCTGCTTGTAGCTGTTCCACCAGCCCTGGGGCAGAACTGCCATCTGCTGGTACTCGGTGCCTTGCTTCATCCAGCTTGGACTGTAGGGCAGAGATCTGAAGCAGGTTATTGTACTGTTGCTGTTGCAATGCCTCTTTATCCTGCAAAACATTTATTTATTTTTTTTAAGTGTGAGAATTGTTGTCAATGTAGCTATACACCTAACAGAACAATCCTGAACAATCACCACCCCTGACAAATGCCAGTAAAAGAAGAAAAGTACCTGATCTCAATGGTCTATAAAGAGGTAGGAATGCAAAACAACGGAATGTTTTTAGCTCATTTAAGTTTTTACCCCTTTTTTTTTTCTAAAGCAAGTTGAATATCTTCTGAAAATATAGCATTCAGTGATAAATTATACTTAACTAAACTAAACATCTTGCTCTTGTAGCTATTTCCACATTTATTATACCATACATTTCTCAAGCTGAATTTAAGAGCTGGAGACTTAATTTAAGAGATGGAGGGTTTTGGGTAGATCAAAAACCTACTACAAATCCATCATGCTAAGTCAGAATGTGAAGCACCAGCAAGTTGCTGTCAGATCTGTGGTCTGTCAGGCTAGTTTTATATATTTATTTTTAAGACTTCTCTTTTGGTCCTCAATACACCTGCCTCTAAACAGGAGGGTTATTTCAGACTCATTGTAGGACTTGCCAAAAAAAATATGTAAAATGTTACCACCTTTCCTCTAATCAAAGAGAACTAAGACCCAGAGTACATGGATAGCATCTTCTGATCTTAAAATGAAAGAAGCATCAATTAAAAAAAATAAACCATTACCAAGTTAACAGTGTACCACAGCATCAATACAGCACGGCCAAGAACAGGCTTGTTCAAACCTTCACATCCATACTAAATAGGCCCTCTGACTTTGCACAACTAGCCCCAGCTAGTCCCCACTGGCTTTCTGGCCCACCCTGAAGGCAGCCCAGGTACACACAGCAGAGGAGGAAAAGCAATTCTAGGGGAGACAGCCAGTTAGGGTACAAAGCTGTGCCATTCACACCCAGTATCATTGGCAGGAGAAATAACAAATGGAACAATTACAAAAGTATCACCTGCACTTTTCTGCGTAGCAAAGCACCTGTGACAGAAATATTTGTGTTGGTCCTGAAGGGAAAAATGAGAACTCTTCTTGCCATTACACAAGAACCTACAACCCTAACCAGCCCTTCAGGTGTCCTGCAGTCACACCTGCAAGGGCACATGTAACAACAAAACACATGCAACAAAAACTTCAAATAAGACATTATCCACACTATTTTCAAGCTCATCTTGATCACTGACAAAAAGCCTCCAGTAACAATGTGCAAATCCAGATTCCTGAAGACCTGGGCTGCCTTACCTGAGATGTTCCTGCACTCTCTGGGCATGCACACCCAAGACTGCTCATGGTGTCAGCACAGCTCAGCACACAAGAGTTAAGTTTTTCCTAGCATTCTCAGTTGCTAAGCCCTGAGGTTGCTACAGTGACCCAGCAAAAACAAGCAGTAACACAGGCAAAAATCAGAGCTTATGTAAGCCACCTTCACTGTAAAATCTTCTGGATACTCACACTTATGTAGTCTAATGTCCTGAGACCCTGACCTGCCTTGTAGCAGCATATCTACTGGGGTTTTTTTACTCACAAGGTTCAAATATACAAAATTTTTTGAGACTATTTTGTTCTTACTCAGCCTTTTTCCCTATTCAAAGTACACTAAGACAGCACTTGGGGACATGGCTTAGTGGTAGACTTGGCAGTGTTCAGTTTGCTGTTGCACTTGATAATCTTAAAGGTCTTCCAACCTAAATGATTCTGTAATCTTATGGTATCTTCTTTTACTAATACCAAAATCCATAGGGTAGCAGACTCCCGAAATAAATTTTCAAGACCTCAAGCCAAAGGACAAGCAAACCTTGCAGCACAACCAGAAGCACTGTTACACATCAACAACAACTGAAAGGAGCTGGACCAGGAGAACAAAAACATCTGCCCCATGGCAGGATAAATGTATCTGACAGTTGTGAGTTTAGTCAGTATTCTTCACAAAAAGACAGCATTCTGTATTCAGAATTACTCTTTCCAGATCTATTGCCTATTATTGTGAGTCTCCGTTACCTGCAACACCTGCATTTTTCATAAGTTGGCATTTGGGGAACAGTAAAAATAAGTAATTGCCATTCACATCAAGCATGTTTTTATCAAAAAGTGTCACGATAGGCAATCGTTCTTAGAGCTCCACTGGCACATATTTACTGCACCAAATTGCCCCAAGGCAAGCTGTTACAATGCCTACAGTTACCAAACTGAGTAGTATAACCTTGGTCAAAAGCTGATGAACCAGTTCCTTGGAAAAAATAATAATTAAAAACAAACAAAAAAACCCCCCAACAAACAAATTCTCAATCTGGCTTATTGATTTTGGCTTATTCAGAATTTCCTAGGACACTGAGACTGCTAAAATAGTATTTTGAATTTGCATGGATAAAGAAAGCCTGTTTGTCAGAAAGCGAGGATTTCAGAGACAAGAGCAGTATCATGGACTCCATCCAGCCTGAGGCAAGCCAGACAGAACACTCATGGGAACAGCTTTGGTGGGTCTGGATACAATCACTGAAAAGCTTCTCCTGGAACAGAACTATAGAGGTTTTTGGCTCAACCTCTGACTCAAACCAGAACTAGTGTGGCCCTGCTGAAGGCCTTGGCCAGATGAATTCTGAACACCTCCAAGTCCCAGAGACACCACTGCCACTCTGAGCCCCCTTTTTCCACATTTGTTTGTCCCCAGTATGATCATTTCCCCCTACCATTTAACTGGAATTTCCTTTGTTGCAGTTTAAGCTCCTATCTTCTTGTCCTTTCACTGTGCACATCCAAGCCTGACTTTCATCTACTCTCTAACCTCGTGTTGTGTGGTTGTTGGCAACGAGATCTTCACAAAGCTCCAGCAACCCTGATCTCTCAGACTCCTCTCAAAAATCATTTGCTCCAGCCCCCTGACCACCTTGCTGGTCTTTTGCTAGACTTCATCCAATACACCAATGTCTTTCTTGTACATGGGAGTCTAAAACAAAACAGTTCTCCAGGTGCAATCTCACAAGTGCCAAATACATAGGAATAGTCATGGCATCATCGAATCACAGACTGGTTTGGGCTGGAAGGGACCTTAAAGATCATCTAGTTCCAACCCTCCTGCATGGGCAGGGACACCTCCCACTAGATTGCTCACAGCCCCATCTAGCCTGGCCTTGAACACTTCCAGGGATGGGGTTTCCACAGGTTCCCTGGGCAACCTGTTCCAGTGCCTCACCACCTTCACAGGAATGAATTTCCTCCTCGTGTCTCATCCAAATCTCCCCTCTTCCAGTTCTGATCCATTACCTCTTGTCTTCTCACTACAAGCCCTTGCAAAAAAACCCTTGTAATAATACCTAATAAACTAACTCCTCTATATCACATTCACTGAAGCTAAACCAAAAAATTTCTTGTTCAATATTTTTAAATTAAAAAATAAGAACAGAAAATTAGCCATTAAACTGATACATTTTTATTAGATCACACCATTCTAAAATCCTCAAACTTGACAAACACACCAACAATACTTGCCCAAGGGAAATCGCTGTGAGGAAATTGAAACATTTAGTTTAAGGAGGTAGAAAAAGTTACTCAGATGTTTTGTAAAAGGCAAATACTTTTGATAAAAGGAACATAATCCTTAACTCTAAGCTGTGATTGAAACTACAGTAGTAACAAAGCACCAAAAATTTCAGTATGGGAAACAGATCTGGTTCCAAAGACACACAGCAGGAGTAGCTGCCTATTCAGAGATTATTACTTTAAACCTAGTTACTTATTGACAACCCACAATGTATAACATTCTGTAGCACAATCTTCCTAGGAACTTCCAGAGAAGCAGAAGAGCAGCTCTGACCCATGCAAACATGACAACTGTCAAAAAGCAGTCTCTGTAGTAAGGAGGGTTATAATTCAGAGATGGTTTAAACCTGTGGCTGCAAAACCTGCCATTAATACAAGGGCTGAACTCAGCGCTGGGTGCCAGGGTTAGTCTCAGACAGCACTGTAACACAGTCATTGATATCTCCCAGGAAGACACCGACGTAATGCCCCTCCTGTTTAAATAACTGTTTAAAAATTACCTGTTTTAGCTCAGTTTCCACTTTCTTCATTTTCTGCACTTGCTGCTCCAGGTAGCGAAGGGCCTTGGAGGCTTCAGCGCCGCTCTGCTCCAGCTCCTGCAGCTGTGCCACCAGCTTCTCCATCTCTTTATCACGAGCTACTAGTTCTTGCTGCTTTTGCTCCTTTTCTAACAACAGCTTATTGTAATCATCCATCTTGTCCTTTATTTCTGCTTGCAAAGATTCTACCTATACAGAAATCAAATTACACAGTCGTTATGGACTAAGCGATGCTGAAATCCTGGATGAAAGTAAAACCAGACGTGGATAGGAAGGATGAAAAAATAACTTTCTGAAATCTTGTTTTCCAAATGCAGCAAGCTCTAAATGCACATTTGACTGCTCTCTCTCAATATTGGCAGCATTCTAGCAAAGTGCTGGCTGAAGGCACACTCTCAAGGCCCAGTGAAAAAAAAGGGGCCTTGTGGTGTGGGATTTTTTCTTGTTCTGTTTAAGATTAAGAATCCCCAAGATTACATTAATTATTACTAATAGCATTAGATGTATTTCTGTAATGTCAGAACCCACTGCCATTGCTTAAAGACATTCCATTTTAAAGGAGGGTAGCATGAGCTGAAAGATAAATACGCACTGTAACATACTCAATGCCTGCAAATCAGATCCACAGGAGTCAACATAGAACTTTCTTTCCCAAACGTTGCTTCAATAGTGCAAAACAATTTTGTTTTGGAGAGCCAATCATGCAGAGAGCTGCAGGAAAACTGTCACTCATTCATCCCAGTAATTAAAGTGAAGGCAAGGCTAGAAGCTTTGTGCTAACACAGGCAGGAGAGAACCAAGTGTGACAGGCGACTACGTCAGAAGTGATAAAGTCATGAAGCACACTGAAATTAGCTCAGATAGGAAAGCAACTGGACACCTTCTAAAGGAGAAATAATTTGGTCAATACCAATGAGAAAGGAAGTTGAGATTTTACTAAATAAATGCTTTTTTCAGCAACAAGTGTCTGTATTTATGCAAATTCCACATCTATATTAGAAAACAAAAATTATTGGTATTAATATAGAACGTTACATATTCAAAGTATTGTATAGATACTACTAAAGCAGAAAACACCCTATAGCAAAATACACAACAGTTATTTAGTGAAATTAACAAGTATGGAGAGTGTGAAAGAGCTATTAAGAATACCAGAAGTGATTGTTAGCAGTGTGCTCACAGGCACATATTCCTTTCCTTAATAATGTATATATCTTATTACCTTCTCATCTCATCAGCAATTAATCAAGTCTTAAGCATAACACAGGCCTTACAGTAAAGCTTTTCTGTATAAAGAAATCTTGTAGAAATCCAGTACTTTCTAAGCTACAAAATGTTGGCATCAGGATCCCAGCAGCTGTGCCACTCTGTGACACATGGGAAGTGTGTTTGTGAACACAGCGCTGCTAGAAAGCGAGTGCTGCAATCCTGGAGCTAAGGAAACACTTCCACAGCCTTCACCCTCACAGAACACCCCAGGAGCTGCCAGCACCAGCCAGCACTCTTCTCACAAAATAATCCCACTCCTGTATTACTTGAGCCTAGAGAAGAGCAGAGAGAACAAATATGCATTTGTTGGAACTTCTACAGGCAGAAATTGGGAGCTGCCTTGAACTGCTTTGTTTCAGAGTGAGTTAAGCAATTACTGATGTTACAGCTGCATTAATCAACTGTACCAGGACTGTCTAAAGCCTGACCTTTTCTTCTGGCACAGATTGTGTGCACATTGCTCTTCATCCACAAATGTCTCTTGCTGAGTTACCTTCCTCGTGTGCTCTTCTCCAATTAAGTTTTAATCCTTTCTCAGAGAAGGTGCAAAGTCACAGCAGTCTTGTATTTCAGATCTTCCTCTTTACTAAGCACACTAGGAACTGTCATCCACCCAGCAACTTGAGTAGAAAACAAGCTGTGGTCTCTGACATATCTTGAGCAACCTGACATATATCCTTTATGATTCCATGCACCCAAGATTAATGGAAAGACTGCCCCAGAGGTTACTTTCTGGGTACACACAGATCTTCAGCAAGTCATGTGGCCTTCAAAATAAAAATCTCTGCCCTTTCTGTTTCTGTTCTTCACCACAGTGTAAGTATCAGGTAGGCTGTGTGTGTCATGTGTTCAGTAAACCTTCATGTCAGGTAAGGGCACTCATGCAAAGGAGAAGCTGAGATGACATAGAATGATAAGGTATCACTCTAGCTCTTAAGAAGCCTAATGAAGTCCTATCAGAGGTTACAGAAGGCAACTGACAATCAGGTGCCCACCAGCATGGAAAATTGACTCTATCAAATATTCAGTTGTTCCTACAAGATTTGATTTTCTAACACTGCAGCACACAATTTCATAAACCTAAAAGAATAGATGGAAATTAAATTAAGTAGTATACACACTGAAATATGTGAGCAGGGCCACAAACAAAAGCTGCTAAGGCACAGTGTGTGATCCTGCTACCTCTGTTTCATACTCCAAACCTCAACTTCCCCTTACAGGCCAAAAAGCTCTTCTAAGTACTTGCCTGTAATGCATCTGAGCAACAAGCCAGGAGAATGAAGCATTTGGGTACAGGAAATTAAATTGAAAGCAGCTCCTCGCTCCCTGCAAGCATTCTGCAACCCTAAAACATGTATCTTCATCTCCAAGTCAAGCTGAAGGAGACTTAACATGTCAAGAATAAGAAAAAAAAGCCAAAGCAGATCTAATAAACAGAGGGGATTGTAAGGAAAAGGAAAGAAAGGCTAAAGAGATGTTCATGCTGTTTTCCATACCTGTAGAATCAATTCATAGTTCTGTGTAATATTCGTTTATGTGGGGAAAAAAACAAAAAAGCAAAAGTTAATCTTTGAAACCAAGCATCAAACAAATGAATATGCGAAAAAAAGGCCTGATTTATGAACTTAAACAGGACAAGACAAGCAGGCAAAGAACATATCTTATTACAGCTAGCATAGATGGGAAAAGTAAACATGTTTAGAACCCAGAAGTACATCCCTCTGTAGAGCAAAGTTTGTATTCTTGTCCTCCTTGGTTAATTCAAACCAGATTCATGCTGTGAAACTTGACTGTAATGATGCACACACAACATTTCCTTCCATTTCCATCAGAAACAATGGAAGGACACTCTGCATAAATGCAATCCAGTCAGCTAGGGGAGAATCTGCTCCCTGGGTGACAGCAGACCAAAAAATTAAGTCTCTCAACAGCCAGGCCCCTAAGACAACACAGGCTTTGGTATTTAATTGTGGTAAACAAACTCCTTTGGTGACTGTTTTTTTACTCACCCTGTGTTCTCTGGGCTCTCCTGAAGTCTGTGATTTTCCTGAAAGCTTTAACTGTTCTTCCAGTTTCTGAATTTCTTGCTGGAAATCATCACGTTCATGTTCCCTTTCTATAGCTTGTTCCTGTAAACCCAGCCAGAGACAGTGAGAATCTTTTTTTGAGAAATTTCATTAAAATATTGAGTACAAGAAACATCTGGGGTTTGTTTCTGCGGTGAAGAAACTATGCTTACTTCAAAATAATCAACACTTTTTAGTAGTCCTGAAAGCACAGAAAGAAACCAAACAACCTTATTGACTCCAACATACAAGCAAACAGCAATTAAAAAATGGGAAAAAATTATCCTGTAATAATATAAAAAGGGAATTTTAAAACTACCTTTTTAACAAAAAGGATAAAAAGGGCTAGCCTCTTAAAAGACTAGAGCACCAAGGTCTTAGTTCCAAACAAAACAGAAAATATCCCATTTTAGGAACCAGCTTCCAATCCTGAGTCACAAACTAGGAGGAATATTTATCACCTCCAAAACGAGGAAAATGTGGTACCAAGTTTGCTTACATCCATGAACTGCCGCTGGTTTTTAAGCTGTTTCTCAAGAACTTGAATTTGCTGTTTTAATTCAGCAACCTCCAGTAACTGTGTAGCCAGGTCCTGGTTACTATGCAGCTGTTCCTCCAGTTCCACCTCCAAAATCTTCATTTGAGAGCGTAAGTTGGAGTGGTCCTTTTCTGCCTGACACTGAAGCTCTAGTTTCTCCTTGGCCAAAAACTCTACTTCCTTGAGTAGACCTGAAGAACAGAAAAATAACTGTCAGAGCAAGGTACAAAAATCAAACTGAGTTTAAAATGAGATTTAATTGAGGCACTTTGGACACCAGCAAAACCAAAGAAAAATTCCCTGAGATGGGCTGGGAGGAAATCTGATAATTGACTGCCCATCTTGTCTCCAAAAGCCATCTCTGGTAAGACTACTGTACAATATAGTAAAGGAGGACATGGGCATCTGTTCCAGATCCCAAAGTAAATCCTGGTTGGAGATATTCCAGGCACACAGAAAGCTTTCACCTTCACTCCTGGAGACCTCACAGTTCTAGAGAGCTCCATCCTACCTGACCAGCACTCCATCAAAATCCCTCCCTAGGTTCTTATCCTCTCAACCCCAGTTTCACACTCTTCTGGCCCAGAGGCTCTTTCCAAACCCCACCAGATCCTCAATCTTCCAAATTCACTCCATTCCAGATACGCCCCACCCCTAAATTTAAGCCCCACATCCCACTGTCAGCCACCTAGTCTCTCATGGCCAGTATTCCAATGGCCCCATCCTAAATCCCTGCTAACCCTTCCATCCTCCTTCAAATCTCTTCCCCATCAAGCCATGCAATACATCAATTCCTCCAAACTCTCATGCAGAGATCCTGCTTAGACCTCCAAAAACCAGTCTCAGATCAGCCTCTCAATTACTCCTCTGCCTCATGCCATGCTGGACACTGCTGCTGTTTAAGTTATTAAGAGCTAATTTCTACCTACAAACTGCATTTTCAATCAGTTGGATGCACTGAACACGCTTCTTAGGAAACCCAAAGTGAGACTTTACTGTGAATGCTCTTAAAGCAAAATTATTTTAATGTGAATATACCTAAAAGTAACCTGAGCACAACAGAAGTCTGGCTATTTAGTATTCATGCTGCTGCAAGAGCTCATTATTTTTACTCTTCTAATGTTCCTTTATTCATCTCAAATGCTTTCAGCCAAAGAGAAATATATATGTTTGATTCCAACAAGGACCTTAACTGGTCACCCAGCCCAGATGCCAGAATGGGACAACTCCCTTGTCCAAGCATGATCAACTCAAGCTACATGATTTCTAACTTAACATAATTTTAAAGTTGTTGTTTCAAAGCTTCAAAACCAAAAGTGATACCACAGTCTCCTTCACTATCCACAGGTATTTAATTAAATTTCTAGGCACTACAGACTAAGCCAAGAAACAAGAATATTTCTCTGTTTGTGCTTAAGAGGACAAGCATCACAAGCTCAGAACTATGCCATGGCATTTACATTAAACATTGGGGAAAATGTTACCACAGTCAGGATAATGGAGCAGAGTGTGCAGGGACTGTGATATCTGTCTCTGGAAATGAAGTAGGCTGGAAAAAGAGGAACAAGTAAAGTAGATTCTGTTTTGGGACAAAAATACAGACTAAATGAGTTCTTTCGAGGCCCTCAGGAATCCTGTGATTCCCTGATTAAGCCACCCTGGACTCTTACTGTAGCAACTATATTTTATCTGCATTGAGGCAATATTAAAATATGCAAGGTAAAACTAAGAGGTTAATTGAGCAAAAGAAAACTGAGCAGATATAGAACTGTACCTGATAATTTAACCGTTCGTCAGATTTCCTAAACACCCACGGTAGCTTTTGAAACCAATTGAAATTACACAGAACTGCCTAGTAGTTACTGGGCTCTTTTTCCAGGCAACTTAGCAACAAGAAAAGTGAAGCACTGTGTCCAATTCTGGAGCCCACAATACAGGAAGGACATGGAGCTGTCAGAGCACATCCAGAGGAGGCCAGAGAGATGATCAGAGAGCTGGAGCAGCTCTGCTCTGGAGACAGGCTGGGAGAGTTGTGGTGTTCAGCCTGGAGAGAAGGCTCCAGGGAGACCTTAGAGCACCTTCCAGTGCCTGAAGGGGTTCCAGGAAAGCTGGGGAGGGACTTGGGACAAGGGCAGGGAGGGAGAGGCAAGGGGGAATGGTTTTAAAGTGGAAAAGGGTACACTTAGGATAGACAAGAAGGAAGAAATTCTTCACTGTGAGGGTGGTGAGACACTGGCCCAGGATGCCCCATCCCTGGAAGTGTTGAAGGGCAGGTTGGATGGGGCTCTGAGCAACCTTGTCTAGTGGGACCTGTCCCTGCTCGTTGCAGGGGGTTGGAACTAGGTGATCTTTAACCCAAACCAATCTGGGATTCTATGATAATAAAGGACTCTGAGGAACTGCTGGAGACATACAAACAGACTATGTATCCAAAAAAGCTCTGGTCCCAGTAAGTACTTTCTGCCTTTGAGTCATAATGCACCAATACATTCCAAGTAAATTTAACTCCCAGCACTAACTTAGCAAACTCACAATTACCAAGAGTGGTATCTTGTACATCTACATAGTAACAACAACTGTGCAATTGCTGTGCCACACTCCTTTTTCAGGCACAGTGCTAAATAATCACATGTACCAAGCTTCAAGTTTCCCTAATTAAATGTTCCACAATCAAATGAGTTGTGGGTGTGACTTGGGCTCTGGCAGAATGCAAGCAGGTAAATGAAGACTCCTTCTCAAAGCAATTTCTCTCACAGCCTACCTGGAGCTGCAGTAGCCCTCTGCCATCTCTGCAAGAGAACCAAGTCACCCAAAGCTGAAACACACAGCCTAGAAAAAAGCTGAAGACAGTCTGAAATGCACTAGGAGACTGAATCCCAGCCACAGCTGCACAACAGAGTATCTTTTACACCAAGGGCTGTGTTTTGCCCAGCAGGAGATGGGAATAAGAGAGCACTCAACTGAATATGCTGATACAGGGTGTGCAGACATGTGGTGAGTACAGACACAGGCACCCACAAGCAAGGGCAGGGGTGCAGACTGAGCCCAAGGAAAGAACTGATGCTTTTGTGAACACAAGAGCAGGAATTTTTCCTCCTATATCCTGAGAAACATGCTCATTTACGAGTTGAGGACTTAACATCTTCCAAAGGAAAACTGTTTCCCTCTGAGGAACAAGATACTCATTAGAAAAACTGAAATGAACAGTCCTGGTAACCTCCTCAGACAGAAATACAAGTTAATGGCAAAAAGTCACTAGTCTAACAGATTTCACATAGAATTGAAAATGTTTCCTAGAAGGCATGTATCAAAAGTTGACAATCTCAGTAAGTGTAACCTGCTTCAGCAATTTGTTTGTTTATTTGAAGCACACATTCCTCATGTGTATAAATATAATTTCAAGCAACATAACAGATCACAGATTTGTTTGTTTGTAGGGACAAACCTGCTATTCTATTAATGCTGATTGAGGCCATGCAGCTCTGCTTGGGTAAAGCCCTGGCACCCTCCCCCCTGCTGCCAAGGTCAGCATTACCAAAAGCCAAGCTTCACCCTAAGTGCATTTTATTAGCAAGACCGTTCTACTCACATTAGTAGTCCCCTTCAAAACCAGACATCAGCCTTGCAAGGAATAAGCCATGTCAATCAACTCCAAGCAATGCTTTTTATTTATCATTATTTTCCACACACTACAAACAATTCCAAACCAGAGGAACAGTACTGCAGGTGGCTGAGGTGGGGGAAAGGGGATGATTTTTGAGGGCTCAGCGCTTGCAGCAAATGCAGCTGTTGAAGTTCTAAGGAGTTGCTGGCAAGAGCTGGACTGCTGCCACCAGGAGAACATCAGTCCCAAAATACACTCCAACCAGCTCGGTTAGATCTTCCCTCTCACTAAGCAGGTGGCAGTGAACTTCAGGTCAGTGAGGTGGTTACCAAAAAGACTTTAAATAAAATAGTGGTTGAGGGAGATGTGAATGGTGAGGAGGAATAAAGATACAGTAATGGGCAAGACAGCCCAGCGCAGTTTTTCAACTCTAACTGGAATTTCCCTAGATAATTCTTTTTTATTCACCTGAGGAACTTGGTTTACCTGGCTCACAAAACATAATAATAGCAACTATGAATTTATCAGCTCTAGATGTTTGCTCCTCAAGAGATACGTATGGACACTTCAGCTTAAGAGGAAGGAAAAAAAAAAAAGCCTGTTTCAATTTGGAATTTGGCACCTACAAATTTTACTTCAGCATTAGACTTCCAAAGTCAGTGCAAAATTCTACAGACCCTTCTTGCTTGGTTTTGGCTTCATCATTCCCCTGTAATAGCCTCTTAACATTGTGCTCTCCTCTTTCTTTCTCTGATCTAATAATTCAATGACATTCATCTGGTCTTCCCTTAGACTTCCTTCAGTTCTTGCTGTATTTTTTACCTCTCCATTTTACATCACCTCAAAGACAACTTCTTTTTTTTCCCCTTAAAGGAGAAATAGGGATTAATTTAATCATTTTAACAGACCACTGTGTGTCATTAGAAGTTCACAGCAAGCTTACAGTGCACTCCATCCCCTCAAAAGAAAAAGGAAGCTGGCAAACACAAAGATAATGGCACAATGCACTTCAAGCCTAGCTGCAGCAATTTTTTTTCTTTTAAATATCAATAAATTAATAATATTCTTAGTTTTAGTTGCTTTCTCATGCATTACAAAAGTCAACATTTTTGCCAAGATATTCATAACCCCAGTCATTTCTTGGGCCTATTTATAAAGTACTATTCCTCTGTTAAAATAAATTCAATTAAATTCATTCACTTAGTGTTACAGCAACACAAACCAGAAAAAAACCCACATTTATCATTACAAACCTGAGCCATCTTTTTGTGCTACATTAGCAACAGGTGTTCCTAGAAATTGAAACACACAGACAAGATAAGTACAGGACATTATGATCCATTCCATCTTCTAAATCACTCAAGATATTTATTTGGCAAAAACTCAATCTGTACTAACACACAGTTCTCCTCATGACAGACATTGATGCATGTCTGTGATTGGACTAGAGCTACTATAGAAATGGTTTCAGATTATAACCATGCAAGCTTGTTACAACATTCTTGTCTAGTCAAGTATTTTTGAAGACAATCAATATTCTCTTTTGCCAATCTTCCCCAGACAGAGATGGAATAATTAGTGCATCAAACCTCTCTTTTAGTTCCTGACAGGGATTCAAAGCAGGATTCAGACCCACAGAACTCACCAGCACAGACTTACAGACTCTCTAATCTGTCCTACATTTCCATGACACCCACACTTGTGTTCAACAATATGATGGAATTACTTTGTGTTTCCTGTGGGACATAGAACTCAAGGCCATAATCACTGTTGTAAAGCAAGCACAACATGCTTTTAGTTTCAGTTACAGCCCCTGAATCTTTTTATATTCTGCAGTCATTCCCCTGAGGAAAAGAGGTTGGCTCCCACCTCTCCCTCTGCTTAGACTCAGTAAACCAGGACAATCTGCACAAGATCACTGTTCAATTTCCCCTTAAGGTAACAGTAAGATATCAAGATGCCACATGAAAGTTCAGAGACAGACACAATGTTTAACACAAACTTATTAGGGCTGATAGCAACAGGACAAGGGGTAATGGTTTTAAACTCAAAGAGGGCAGATTCAAGAGATAAAAGGAAGAATTTTTTTTTATTATGACAGTAGTGAAACACTGGCCTAGGCTGTCCAGAGAGGTGGTAGATGCCCTGTCCCTGGAAACACTCAAGGCCAGGTTGGATGGAGCTCTGAGCAATCTGATCTAGCTGCTGGTGACAGGGTTGGAAGGCATGTCCTATGAGGAGTGACTGAGCACTCCAGGTTTGTCTAGTTTGGAGAAAAGGAGGCCGAGAGGTGATCTCATGGCTCTCTGCAGCTTCCTGAGGATTGGATGTAGAGAGGGAGGTGCTGAGCTCTTCTCCCTGGGATCCAGTGAGAGAATGCATGGCAGTGGTTCAAAGCTGCACCTAGACTGGACATTAAGAAACCTTTTTGTGCTGAGAGGGTGATCAAACATTGGAAAAGGCTTCCTAGAGAGTGGGTCAGTGCCCCAAGGCTGTCAGTGCTTAAGGTATCTGGACAATGTCCTTAATAACCTGCTTTAACTTGGTCAGGCAGTTGGACTAGATGATTGTTGTAGGTCCTTTCCAACTGAAAAATATTCTATTCTGTTGTATTTGAAGTTGTCTCTGCTCACTGCAGGAGGTTTGGACTAGATGACCTTTAAAGGTCCCTTCCAACCCAAACCATTCTATGATTCTATGTACAACCTGAGTATTTCAATCGAAAGGTCAAGCACAGAGGATGGCAGCCCCTGAAGGCAGGACAACGGTGGAGTCAGGAGTCAGAAGAGAGGTGAATACCAGGGGAGGTGGGGGAGATGCAAGGGGCAGACAAGAGCTGCAGAGGAATGACATAGTAGGGCTGCAAGCCAGGCAGGAGACTACAGAGACTCCTGAGAAGTGCACAGGTAACTGCAACATACAGACTGTATCCAGTCAAACACCTCCCTCCCATAGAATTTGGGACCACACCCTGAAGCCTTGGTCTTTACATTTCTCTGATACCAACACTGGAGAAATTCACTAGGAAAGTTTCTTGCTGTTTTTATTTCTGACCCCAGCATACCCCAAGTACAGCTACCTGCTGTGTCATCTGCTCAAGAGCAAAGATCTGTGCAATGTAGCTGAAGGTGGCATTGTGGTGACATAGCTGAGAGCAGCATGTTGGCATTAGCAGGAATGGAATGGCAGTGATCACAAATAATAAAATTTCTTCTGCAAGATGATACAGAGAATTTCACTTATAGAAGTACTGCAATGACATTAAGGTTCAATTCAAGTCAAAACTATTTAACACTATTTAAATGATTCACAGATTCATTATTAATAACCAGTATAACCTAGTTTTGAGCTCCTGCCTACTGCAACTCAGGTAACATCTCTGAATTTTCTTCTGTGAATCAAAAGAATATCTTACATGCAAGCCAGCTATTTTAGCCTGAGATTCTTCAGTCACTGATGTCACTGTTGTCACTGTTACAATGTATGCTCCTTCATTTGCAGCCTGAGTTATCACAGCCCCAACTTCCACTCACTGAGTGCTATTAGACTCCATCCAGTATGCTGAGGAGTTTCCCTTTACCCCATTCCACTCCCCCACACAAGTTCCCTGTACTTATCTTACATCATATCACATACCCATGGGGCTGAACAAATGATGGAGCCAGGGAAGGACTTACTTAGACTGCTTATTTGCACCTACTTCTGAGCTGGATTTGGTATTCCAGTGGCTGTGTTTGGTTTGCAGTGAGTCACCCTTTACAGAAAACTTTCAGATCACTGGCTTACCTTATGCTCTCCAACAGCTTCACCTCATACATTTTTTCTGAACCCAAATAGACTTTGATCATTAAAATCTTTCCAGTCCCCCTTACTCATCACGTACATGTGTTTTGACAGGAGGGGAGCAGGGGGAAAGCTTATGTATGGAACTAAGCACATGTAATCACCACAACTTCTTCTTAATTCAAATAATCTTCCAGCAGTATTTTATTTCTTCTGTCAATTCTAAGCTGCCTCCTTTCTCCTGGAAGCAGCCAAAAGTTCTGAAGCTCCAACCCTTCCTTTCAACTGCAGTGTCTAATAAACAGAGTTTCAGTTACTAACTAGGTGCAAATTATCTCCTGAAACTAACTACCTGTAGCCAATACATGCCTCCTATTTTCTCAGACACTTTCCATTTCTAACCAAGCACAAAACTACAGCAGTAATGTCCATTAACAGCACTCTCATCTTTTAAGCAAGGAAACAACTGCTTGATCTTATTTTCTGCTTTCACAGGAGGCCCTGCTAACCTCTGTACCAGACTGAGTTGCTCATAGGTCATCAAACCAAAGACTGATCCACCTTGCCCTGTGCCCTGACTGGAGACAATCTTGTTTTCCAGTATTGGTGCCATACCCACTCCTCACCAAGAATTGCCTGCTCCTGGGTTAGCTCCTGGAAGCGCTCACGCATACTCTCCAGCTCCACAACAAGGCGACGTTCAGATTCCTCTTTTAGATTCAAGGCCTCTTCCAATGCAGCTTTTTCTGCAACATAGCCTTCAATAATGCCTAAAATCCCAAGTCAGAATGCAAATAAAGCAAGACACAATTGCATACATTGGAAAAAAACAGCTTAAAAACATGACTAAACAATATTTTGCAGACAATGGAAGGTGACATAAGAAGGAAGAAGTGCAAGATGACTTAAATTTACACTGTAGCTATGGTTTCTGAAGTACCTTAAGGAATCCAATGTTAATGTATTCTAACACATTTTATGAGGCTGTCAAGTCACCAAAATGTCTCCAAACATGTAGAATATATATGAGGACCATTACGTCTTGACGGCCTGAGACCACCTCACAACGCTGGACAGACTGACATCCTCTGCTGGGGGCTGAGGCTTGAAGAAACAGTCTCCAGAAAGTAAGAGCAAGTGTTAGATTCAGAGCCAGAGAAATTCAGGAGTGACTCCCAGACAGAAAGTAAGGAAGGAAAAAGGATTTTGGAAAGACCAAATATGCCTAAAGGAATACAACTGAGAAGAGGAAAGCAGGTGCCACGATTAGGGAGAGAAGCTCAACTTGAAGGACACAGAAATCCTCAAAGATTCTCCTACATAAAGGCGAAGACCTCAAGTCTTAACCTTCACAAGGTGAAATCAGACTGATGATGTGCAGTCTGTGATAGTGTTGAGATCAACAGCCTCAGACTTTTTGTCTCTTCTCCCACAATCTCTTGATGACTGCACTAGCACCAAACGTTGCTCTGGTTCATGCTGAACCCCTCCAAGGCCAGACAGGTAGGCTGATTTACACTGGGAGTGTATCTTCTTTTCAGTAGGCCAAGCTCCTGTGTTTAGACATGCAGGAATG